CGTCACTGTAGTCAGGTTGGCCTAGAGCGGCGATCAGGACGAGTGATGGTTGCATCAACATCGCTTGTCTTGGAAATGAAAGGAATGGGTGCAGCCTACTAAAACGTTTGTAAATTTCAACTACAATGGAGTTTTTTTCAAAACCTGCAATGTAGCGAACCCAAAAAGGGACAACGAGAGTGCCACTTATTTACACTAGAAGAGCCAAATTCGTGAACAATCTCCACGTGGTCTAGTTAACAAGGTAGCAATGCTGGAACTTTCTTCAAACAGAAGACACAATAAGCCTTCCAGAAGGACTCGATCACTGAAGAATGTCGACAAAATTAGCACGATTTGAGTTTACCAGCTGCTGTCCTCCTCTCCTAGACCAGACTCGAGAGAGCGGCGGAAATGAAGCCAAGCATGGTGCTTGATATCAATAAAGATAGTAAGATTCTGTGGTTAGCTAGAAATTAGATACCGGATATTATTATTCCTTTTTTACCTGTTGTTCACTTGATATCCATGTATTACTGTGATTTTGCTTTGTAGTATATGTATGGTGCACCTAAACCTGAAGAGGATTCAGCTCTGAAGAGGATGTTGGGTAAAACATTGGTCCCGTTCTTTTTGGTTTTGTGTTGCACTTGTGTCGTGCTTTATTATCGTTATTTTTTTAATATCTGATAAACGCTAATCAGAAATTGAAGGTAAACGGAGGTGGTTTTGATAAGCGTCCTTTCATTCAAAGGACTGTTCTCTGTTCCTGTTGGGTAACAGTTTGACAATGGCCAAAATTTATGACGCTTTCAAGAATATTGCGAGAAATGGTTATTGATAACTTATCAAACTGTCTTGAACAACTCAATCAGGAGCTGAATAGCATGGTGTAGTGGTGAGAGCATTCGCCTTTCACCAATGTGGCCTGGGTTCGATATGTGGGTTGAGTTTGTTGTTGGTTCTCGTCTTTCTCCGAGGGTTTTTCTCCGGGTTCTCCGGTTTTCCTCCCTCCACAAAAACCAACGTCTCCAAATTCCAATTTGACCAGGATACAGGACCCGCATGAAAACCAGCTAAGGCTAATGTGGCTTTGTCTCTAAATATTGTAATTTATTTTAAACTCAGAGCTAAGCTAAATGGACGGTACAGGTATAAAAGGGACTATAATATCAGCCATTATGGAAAGTAATTTACGCTTCAAATTGCGACTCTTTTCCTCTGTGGTAGAATATAACCTCGGCCGTGATATTATTTCCCACACAGGTGGACATTTTGATGTCACTAAAGAGAAGAGACCAATGGATATAAAGAAGGTATCAGTGAATACGTGTTTCTTGTTCAATACTCGGACGAGCTCAAATAGTGAAGCCCGTGGAAGGAGACGGGGCGACTCCCATAAAAAAAGACAGGGGTACTTGTTGTACATTTCAAGAGTGAGAAAAAAAGCGGTTTCGGTACCTCCTAGGTGTTCGGACTCAAAACGTCCACAGCGGGAGCTTTTTGGGTATGTTTTAGGGCATTAAGCCAAAACAAATATGACAGCAGAGATATGACAATAAACTGATTTTTAATTTTGTCTCATTTACACCGTGAATTAACAACTCGTCAATTAAAGAGTGCACAGTTGCCGAATGTGTTGTTCTAGAATTGGTACCACTTAGCGGTGGAAAATATTTCAAGCCACGTCCACATAACCGGATCTTGGTACCTCTTAGGGATCTTTTCAAAATTTCCGACGAGCACCTCCCCCCAGGAGTGACGCAGTCAGACGTTTCTATGAGAGTTTGATTGCCTGACAGTTTGAGTTCTCACAAACTCAAGGTGACTTGTGTCTGCTTTAGGTTATGTTTACTTAAGGCAGTCGTTTTGTAATAAAATGAAGGTGTATGAGTTTTGCGGTGCAGTGCTTTCACGTTGGGATGATCACAGAAGATTTTTGACGATTCTCTGCTAGAGCCTGACCATTTTCCCAAGATTTTTCAAAGATTGTGTGAAGGTCATATAATCGTTGCCGACGTTTTCCGCCCATTTCCGAAAAAAGGCCGAAAAATCCAGAGTACAAGCGACATATTTTGAGGTCATCATTTCGTTATCATTACACTTTTGAGTTTTTCCTGACTTTGATTGGTTTAGCTGAATTGCTCCATGTACCTAACCAACCAGCGATGTAAGAGTGTAATCGAAGTCCTAAAAAATAAAACTAAGAAAATGTCCTGCTGTGTTGACCTATCCTCGGTCATATTCTTGCTCAGGAATATGTTTGTTTGCCCTTCGATTCCTAATTCAATCAAACAAAGGTTTAAAAGATGTCTTCCTCCTTCAAGTTTATTGCGTCTGTGATAACTTTGCGTTCGTGTGATTTTTGAAACCTCAGTACTAATACTTCTTTTCGCTTCCGCAGACACCATTTGTTCC